AGGACACCACAGTAAATGTTGCTCAATAAGGACAAGTTCTACATAGTGACCCAGGCCAAGTCCTCTCGACTGGAAAAGACCATTCTGTAACTGAAATGGGAAAAACTTTTGTCAATAAAGACCTAATTTTCAAAATTCAGAGTATGAGGTAAAGATTGCTTTTTTTTTTTAAGCTATTTGCAGGATTGAATTATCTAAGCTGTAACAACACACAAAAGTGCTGGACCTAAGCACATTCTGCAAAATTCTGTTCAGATGAATCTACATTGGCCCAAACAGAAATGAAAGTACAATCACCTACGGCAGCAACTAAGCTGAAAGCTGAACCTGGAGGATGGACATGAAGGAGGAAAGCAGCACAGGGGAGAAATGGAGGGATGAGGAAGAAGAACTATTTCTTTTCACAACTTAGTGATAAAAACAGTTTATATGCCAACTGGAATCTGATATGAATACTGTTACAGCATGATGGTGTTCCCACTTTTTGATTTTTCAACAAATTTAAGGAATATTATAAGTGAACCTGAGAACTCTTATTTGTACACTCAGTATTTACATGTGTGGGATGCTGTACTAAGTACTAGGTAACTGTGGAAAAAAACAAGGGCAGTTCTTGAATTCCTCTAATGAGAACAATAATCAAATAACAAAATTATAGCTGCAAATGAGAAAGTGGTCAGGGAGCCTTTCCTGAGGAAGTAAGTATGGGTTATTTGTCAACCTTCAGGTCTTCAGTACTTATAGGCAGAGGGATCAACTTTTCTGCAGTTACTGTTGGGGTATCTGCTACATTGAAGAAATTCAAGATGAGTGAAAAGAAAATAGCAAAGAGAGCATCTAGAAATCCAAATGGAGAGGTCATGTGAAGGAGATTGTATTGTCTTATGAACCAACCTTGGAGATGCGAGGGAAAGTTTTGTACATTGGTGGAATGCTATACAGAGACACCTCAAAAAATTAAAAGCAAAAATACTGTATGATATACTTATTCATATCTGGGCGTGAAAAATGTAGAACCATTTACAACAGCCAAGACTTAGAAACAACCTAAGTGACCATTAACAGATGATTGGATAAGGAAGATGGATATAATGAAATACCATTCAGTTATTTAAAAAAAAAAAAGATGAAATCCTGCTAGAGAGATTTATGCTTATTGACATAAGGCAAACACCATATGACCTCACTCATGTGGCACACAGAGAAACTAATCAAATGGATGAACTAAAAAGAAGAAGAAACTTTAAGCCTTTAAGATCAATTAGTGGTATGAGAACGAAAAGAGTCAAGGCCTGGGTGAATTTGTTAAAAGAGGTCCAATGGCCCTCCCTGGTGGCGCAGCGGGTTAAAGCACTGCACTGAGAAGCTAAAGCCACTTCCACATGAGTTCGATCCCCGCCTGCCCCGGAGGTGACCACATGGCGCGGCAGACCTCTCCTGACCCGCCCACTACTCCCCTCAGCAGTGTACTTCGTCGATCTGCCTGTTCTGCTCCCCACTCTGTCTTTGGTGAATCCTCTCACCGCCCTGCATCTCTGGCCTGTACCAGTTCTGTATGCACAAATAAATAAATCTTAAAAAAAAAAAAAAAAAGAGGTCCAATGTATGGAAGGATAGAATTGGATTTTAGTGGTGAACTAAATGAAGTATATATACAAGCTGATCATTAATGAGGCACTCTTAAAACTTGTTATAATAATGCAAATACAAATCAATAGTAAAAAAAAAAAATTAAGTGTTAAGGAAACTTATGTCTGTTTTTCAAGACCACTCCACTGTGCACAGAGAATGTGCTCAGTGGATAGACAAAAGTGCAAAGGGCGACTCCATGAGGCAGCTAATAGAGTAAATGACAGAGCTGCTGTACACTCCTTTATGTTTACTATGCAAATGCTCTAGAGAACAGTTTATCGATACAGTGATTAAATCTCAAAATTTTTTGCCTTGGCAATTACTATCCAGCAACATTTATAATAAAAATGCACACCTAAACATTTGAAACCATGGGAAAAAATACTTTGGTCTTTTCCCAAGTGTTAAGTATTTCTTTATTATCTAACCTTATCACACCTTGTTTTGTAAATATGAGAATCAAACAAAGCATTTCATAATACCCTCCATTTTACACTATAATGGCAAAGAAAACTTAATGGTAGATAAAATCGAATCAGAAACTGAAGACGTCAACAGAACTTCCCAGCCGGACACAGAAAGTTACAATAAAGACCTGGAAGCACTGCTCCCCCCAGGGCAGGTGAGTGACTGCTGCAGAGCACTGCCAGGGCTTGTCCAGGGGCTCGGCTAGGAATACCTCTCCTCTGGAATACCTCTCCTCTGGATTCACTGAAGGAGCACACTGAGTGCCAGCTACCGACCAGGTTTTTCTCCATTAAGCAGAGCATAATGTTAAGTACAATAATCTCAACTGTGGGTGTCCAATCAGAAAGAAGAAACCTGGAGCTTTCCAGATCCACTGATATCTCCTTATATATTCTCTCCCCTGCTGCCACAGCTGCTAAGGGAAATAACCTACACCCAGTAGAAATGACTAAGATGACATGAAGGAAAATTCCCCAAGTTCTGTAAACAGAAAGTTCTGTAAACAAATACCAATCAATGGTGGCCCCCAAATCTGAGACCATTTTGAACACTGACAACCTACTGATATTAGCAATTAGTACAAAATACAGCTACTTCCTTTGCAGCACTAATGGTAAACCCAAAGTTTTACCCTTCACTATTTAACACGACTCAGGAACCAGCCAGCATAATTTCCTGATTCTGACAAGCAGAGCAAATCCAATGAGTGGCCAACAAATAATAAGCCAAAGTCAACTTCCCATTGTCACCAAAAAATGATACTGTGTCCATTCACATTAGGAGTTCACAGAGCAACAATACCAGTGACAGTTGGAAACAATCTTCCGCATAAATCAATAGCTTGCTGACAATGAAACAGCCAAACACAGAAAAGGCCTAGATAGTCAAATAAGAACAACCAAAAATGTGGGAGGGGATTAAAAAGTCTAATAAAGTTTGTAATCAATAGGAAGTGGAATCTTCAATTTTTACACATTTTTTTTACTTTCGGATCATCTAGTAAAACTTGCAGTCAGTAATGACCTGCTTAGCAGTATACTGTTTGTAAGTGAACAATGTCCACCAAGCCAACTAGTCAACTGTGCCACAGCCCTGCTCCCCAGGCAGGTAAGAACCTGACAGGCCAAGCACTACCGCGTAATTAGCACGTTAATTAGCCAACGTGTGTTTGAAGGAGCTGCGTTCTCAACAACCTGCGCTGCTGGAAGATCAACAAGAAGCCAGGAGAACACACAGGTGCACCCCTGCTCATTGAGCCCTCCGCAGCAGTGGCCCCCCAACTTATACCTTCTCTGGAGCTGCTAACAAGCAGTTCCTCTCCTGAAGAAAATGCACAGGTACACATTCATAAAAAATGAAGAAAATAATTACAGTACTTCCAAAACCAAATGTCTTGTTGCTTGTTCAGGAACTTGAGGTCAAAGAAGCTCTGCTGTTACCAGCAGGTCCCTTTCTAAGCAGTACGAATAGAGTTGTAATAGAAAGGTTTATGAGCAGGACAGAAAAAGTAGATAAAGGGAAAAAGCAAAATAAAGATACCAATGGCAAAAGAGCCAATTCTGAAACAGAGTGTCTACTAAATGAACAAATATTTCCCATGCACCATTATTATGAATTAAAAAGCATGCTAAAAGATTAAGAGAGACTAAACTCAGATGTAGCTAACAGTTTTATGTTCTTGTGTGGCTTACAAAGGCCAGAGGAAAATGTTACTGGAATGAAGGTTATATATTTTAATAGTATCTATAACAAAAGAGCCTAGCTTAAGTTGAAGGTTTCTCTCAACTGAGATTGGGGAGAAAGCTACCTGTAAGCTATTTGGGAAGAAATGGGGGTGAGGGATAAAGAAAATATAAGGCTTCCAGACTAGGAACACAAAAACAAAAGATCAGGCAGTGAAAGACACATGGTAAGAGGAAGCTGTACCTTAAAACTTGAAGGTGCTGGTTCTTGTTAATAGCTTTCTTCTTAGTCTAATATTTTTCTTTTGATAAAAATATTATATAAAAAGTATATTGACTATAGGTGTTTGGGAAATGTACATGATGATGGAAAATGATGGAGTTGTTGGAGAGAGGGAGCAAGAGGGGAGAGACGAAAGGGGGGGAAGAGAAACACAGAGGTAGAATAAAATTGCTCAGGTATATTTACCCTTGCAGCAAATGTTATGTTTCTACTGCCACTAGTTACAAATTTGTAAAGTAAAATATAAGCTTAACTTTTAAATATTTTCATAATTGCTTATTCTTCAATTTTACGTATATGAACATGCTAGAAAGAGCTATATTTATATAGAACACAAATACATGTTTTCTCTACCAAGGAACTATACCTTCCCACAGAGATTAGCTTTTTAAAACAAATCGAGAATTTACTGATGAACTTTGGGGAGTATTTATGTGAAACAAACTTTACAATATAATTATTATAGACTTTATAGACTTTGAACAGAATGCAAATAAAAATGGACTCTTCAATTAGACCTAACATTCATTATTTAAATACAAAATAAGCTGAGCTACTGAAACTGTTCATAAAATCTAAGAATTTGAAGTTTTAAAGTTAAGTCTTCCTTCACAAGCCTAGGTATAATTCAAAACAGTATTACATTCACTGTACCACTAGGCAAAGCTTTGTAAGAACTTTCAGTTACAATCTATTCTTTATGTAAAGTCTGTTAATATTCAAGGAAACACCCACTTTTTGAATATATGCTCTCAGAATATGTAAGTATATCTCTGACATATACCATTACACAGACACATATATATCTCAGATATATACCATTCAGCATATTTTTCCTAAACTTGAATATCCATAATACATCTCCTAGCATGAGATTACACAGTAGATAACAGTTGAGGTAAGACAGCTTCTGCACCACAAAAAAGCAGCATTACCTGGGAAACTAGTCTTCATTATGTCAATTCCAACTTGCAGCTCAGGTTCAGCAGCAAGTACAGCATAGTCCCCTTGATGAGAGATGTTGAAGTTGAAATTGGGATACGGGTTCAAGGAGTCTTTTGCAAGAACTGGTTTTCCTTTAGCAGTTCTTTGTAAACGAATATTATTCCAAGGAATATTCAATTTCTCTGCAACTAATTTCCTTATCATCAGACGGCCAGCCTGTTAAGTAAATAAAACATTTGTCTGTAGTGATGTCTACTAGTCTTAGTTACATGCTTGTAACATAAAATGTCTGTTTTGTAGTTTCTAAAAGATTCCTTTCAAAGATGTTTAGAAAAGGTTAAGTATTGATAGCACCACGTTCAGATTTAAATAATAAAGAAGATAGATGAAAAAAGTCCCCCCTCAGCAATTCCCTCCCCTCAACAGGTAACTAATGTTAACATATAAGTATCCTACCCATTTTTCTTGAATTATACAAACATGCTCATTTGTATATCCAATTTCTATCTGTCTACATAAAAGATTCTAGTATATGCAGATATTCTAGTAAAAAATTTTAAACTTGTACTGGGGATTATACACTGTCTAACATAAAGATAAGTGTACTTTAAACTGTAGTATATTTCATAGCATCAAATTATCACCACCTGATGGAATATTCCCCTACTGTTGGACACTGTCAATTAGCTCTCGTTCTGCTATTACAAATATCCTTCAGTGAACTATTGCAACTACATCTTTGTGCATTCCTGCATTATTTCTAGATCCTGTATACTGTATCCGCACTTTCAACAATTAGTAGTGCATGATTTACCTAGCTTCACAAAGGCCCCATCCACTGTCTCCACCTCATTAAGAAATTACTAGTCACACTAAAAACTCAAGAGTAGAACAAAGCATGTATTTTGCAAAATCATTCTTCTCCACAATTCTAATGCATGACTTCGAACACCTGCCAGACTTTGAATCCCACCATTTCCTACTTATTACAAAAAAGTGGTCTCTGTCCCTTCAAAAATTAATACATTTAACCCACAGTTTTTCCAAGAAAAGCACATTTTTAAGAAATGACTCTCAGAAGCGTAGTCATTAGAGCTATTTTCAAGTGCACTCTACAGCAGAAGTAAATCTGAATACAATTTTCTATTTGATGCTTATAAATGTAACTAAAATAAACACTTAAACGCCTTTTCCAGAGCCATGCATCTAAGCAGGTTTGTCGGGACTGCACCCTCTTGGGCTTCAGTTTCAGTGGTAGGAGGCAGCTGGCCCAGGCCTCTTCGACTTCCAGCTGTGCAAGGCCACACTCATTATTTTCTAGAAGCCACCATGTGCAAGGCGCCCTAAGAAAGTGCCGTGACATTTATCAGGCAGCCTAAGCATGTGCTCTGGGCCCACACAAAGAAAACCATAAAATGTGCTAACACTTCACAATAAAAATATATAAACACTCCAGACTGGGGGGAAACCCGCTGCGCGGACCTTCCCCGCACGCAGCTCGCGGTAGAAGCGGGGTCTCCCAGCTAGCACGTCGGGGGAGGGGCCCCTTCCAGCAGCGCCCGAGGCCTCCTAGGCGACCACAAAGACCGCGGCGACCAGGCCGTGCACACACCGAGGGTTCGGCGGCGCCGGCCACTGGCCGCCCCACGGGCCGCCCGCTACAGCGAGGGTGTTGACGCGGGGGCTGCAAGGTCTCTACCGTCGAGCCCACCTCCCCCAGCGGCGGCTCCTCCGACTCGAAATACCCAAGACCTGTAGTACCATGGCTGCCTTAGCGTCTCGGGCAAAGACGAACTGGCCGATGCGCTCCTTCTCCTCGGGCTGGATCGATCGCACCGCCAGCAGCCACTCGGCGCGGCTCGGCAGCCAAGTACCGCAGGAAAAGGCCCAGCGCACGCCCTCCATGGCTGGCACCAAGCAGGATCGCTTGGCTGGGAAAACCATACACTAAGAGACCTCGCCGCCACCTCGAGCCTGATGGCGCGGACGCTGGCGTGGCCCCACCCCCTTCTTCAGGACGTCGGCGCGGAGGGGCGGGGCGTCGCGGGGCGGTGAGATCACGTGACGCGGCGGGTCCTCGTTTCCCCGCCCTCCAACCCCGCCTTATGGTCTAGGAGCCAGGAACTGGGGGCGGAGACCCGCCTCTGCGTCTGCGGCACCGCGTGACGTCACGTGGGCGGGGCTCAGGAGACGCGGAGGGTGGGACCAAAGCCAGAAGCCGAGTTGTTTCGCTGCTCACCTTGGAGACGCGCTGACGGGACAGCCGTACAAGCCAATCGCGTTCTGGCGTCCGGAGGCAGGGACTCTGGGGTGGAGACTTCGGAGACTGCAGTTGCAGGTGGGTGAGCTCTGGGGTCTGCGGGAGGAATGGGGTGGTAGCGCCGTATTTCTAAGGATCGCGGTCGGTCCCTACAGCAGAGGAGGGGATTTCCTCGTCTTCGCCCACCTTTGCCGCCCGGGCGGGAGAGGATTCCGCGGTCAGAAGGGACTGTCGGGCGACCCTGGAGTCACGCTCCGCGGCAACCCTAACTTGTCACCCTCACTCCCCTCCGAGGCTGTTTGGCCTAAGCCCCCTCATCAGGACACTACCCTTTGCTGTCGCCTGAAACAACTTTGAAAGCCCCCTAAGACACTGCCCGCGGATAGCGTCCCGGTCCTGCTGAAGCCGAGGTTGTCAGAGAGCTGGGCTGTTACTGACCCTTTGTTGCGGCCATCAAATAGCCCAGGTGCTGTTTTGCTTGTGCCACGACTGGGCCGGAGCCTTAGGGAGAAAATATTTCTAATGTTGAGGCACTGATGGTAGCAGAGGACCTCGCTTAAGCAGCCCTGCTCAGTTATTTCCTTAGACTTCATGAAGGACGCTATTGGTATCTCTATCCACGTTCGATTCTGTAGACTACCGGTTACTTTTCTATGAAAGCCCTCATGATCAGCCCCGTTTGCATTCTGGTCCCCAAGAGAAAAAGTTGGTCTCTGCAGGTGAATGCAATTGCCTAACTTTATATTTAACTCAGTTGATACATCAAACAATTCGTTTTACACCCTTTGAGGATGTGTGTGTGTTCAAACCCAGTTGGTCTCTGCAGATGAATGTAATTGCCTAACTTTGTGTGGGATTAAATGTCAAAGTGTAATTCGGCAAAACCCCTTCTTTGGCTACCTGGGAATGTCAACTGGAAGCCAACAGTGGTCCTGCAGATTTTTCCACCGCCCCCCACCCACGCCCCCTAATTTATAAAGGACTCCATTCTGTTTTTATCTACACGTGTTTTCATAGTTTATATCATAAGCCCCTCTTGTCCTTTTCAAATAGATGGGATTTTGAACACACACACAAACCCTCTAAAGGATGTAAAATGAATTTCTTGATATATCAACTGAGTTAATATTAAAAGACCTGTATCAGGTGCCACATTGAAGGTCTGCCACCTGCCCAGAGCTTACTATCTGGCCAAGCAGATAAAATGTACATAAAAAGCTATAATAAGAGAAAATGTAGAAGTATGCAAGGTATAAGGTATTTGCTGATTTATTAGTAGTAATATTGCCTATGATGAGCATTCAGTTCTCCATTTTAAACCTGTGTGCCTAAGCATTATATAATACCATTTATAGTCATACCTTCTTTAATTGATTTTTATATTTAGTTAATTTTGTTTCTAAAGCACTTTTGTGCAAATTATCTCATATATTCTGTGCAGTAATTACTATTACCGATGGAGAAACTGAATTTGTGGAATTATTTAAATTCAGGACTAGAAATTCATAGCTCATTCTTTTATCATTGAACTAAGCTCTGTTGTAGTTTATGTACAGGCAGATAGTGCAGTAACTTCATTACCTGTATTTGTTCTCTCTGCCTATAATACTCTCTCCTCCCACCATTTTTCTTTATCATACAGGTCTCAGCTCAAATATCAATGTGTCTGTAGAACCATCCTAAAAAGCTCACCCCCTCTACATCCTGCCTTCTGTTGCAAACCTAGTACCATGGATACTCTTTACAGATTTGTTCAATTTAAGCTTCTTCCCTGTATACTTTTTAAAATCATGCCTGTCATTCAGCTTAAACCTTGCCTTTTTTTTTTTAAGGACCATCCAGAATACTTAAAAAATACTGTCTGTATAACTTATTTGACAGTTACTCTAGAATACCCCTAAGGTGTCTATCATTCTGAATTATTTATATGCATGTTATCTTGAAAATCAGAATATGAAGTACTTCTTTTCATGTATGTATACCTTGCCTTTTACAAATTGATATCACTAAATGTTTTTAATGAACTTTTCCAACATATTTTACTCTTCAAAAACTGGTATTTATAGTCAACTTTCTGTCATCCTTTTCTTGACGAAATACAAAGTGTACAGCTAATAACTTGCTTAATTGTATTCAGTAAACCCTAGCACTTTATGATGATGTTTTTTATGGTATTGGCTGGGGACACAAAGGCTGAAGTTTGTAATAGTCATCTGTGCAAGTTTGTAATAGTCTTCTTGTCAGACCCTGTTCTGTGGCTTTGTGGTAGAGTTCTGAGAGGCTTGTGTTATGTTTCCAGTTCTGCCACATGTTACTGTGGGGCTTCAGGTAGATCACTAAGCTCTCCAGGTAGCAGTTTCAATGTGATCTTTTATAAATTTCTGTTTTCTTTTTAAAGTAATATTCAGTAGCTTTTAATTCTACCAGTTACTCAAAAACCTCTTGATTTTCTTTTTCCATCATTTCCTCTATCTTATTTATACCAGACTAATTGGTTCTACTTCCACAATAGAGCTAAAGTCCACCTTTAGCTCTCTCTGTCTCTACTGTTACTGTAAAGGTAAGCCAACATCTGTTCTCACTTCAGATACTGATTAGTTTTCTAGCCTCCATAAGAAAGGGGAACAGCAGCTTCCTGTGTCTGCTCTCCTTACTACAAGCCCATCTGCCAGAACCCATCTGTCTTTAGAGCTAAGTCTGAAGTAGAAGCCTATGTCCTTAATCACTGTGCTGTATAACCTTCCAGTGATCGTCTGAGGAGGAGGGGCTGACACAAAAGGAAATCCGAAAGTGTTTTGGCACCAAAAAGAAGAGGGGATGATTTAATGTGAGTGTTCCTGAAAGGTTTAGTAAGATGAAGAGAGAGAACTTATCATTTGACTGCACGGTGGTAAGATGATGAGAGATCGTGAGACAGGCAGGAACCCTGTTAGCACCTTTAGGTAAGGGAGAGAACTTGATTGTATGGGTTTCGAGGATAAACTGGAGAAGGTACTACACACTATACATTAAAGTTTTCCTGGGTTAGGGAGTAGACGTGGGATAGTAGCTAGAGGGGAATTAAAGGCCAAACAGTGGATTTTTGTTTAATGTTCGCTTAAAGATGAGAGATACTAAAAATGTGTATGGGGGGGAGGGGAGGACAGTGTCCTGGAAAGTGCCCTAAATTGTTGATGTAGGAGAAGGGGTAGTTTCTTGGTCTGGGTTTGTTTTTCTTATGCATGTATGTGTGTTCATCAACACTACAGTTTACTCCAAAGTAGGGGACCCTCTCTGTACTGTTTTGTCTGTATGTTCTGAATCTAGAACAGTGCCTGCCACAATTAATAGCTGCTCGGGAACTTTGTAATAATTGTTGAATCAGTGGATGTGTAAGCTTCACTTTTCTTATCTTCTTTGAATTCATTCTTGACATATAACCAAGAAACCATATTTTTAAAATAAAGGATCATGTCACTGTCCAGTTTCAAGTCCTCAGTAGTTGTTGTACTTAAAATAAAATTCCAACTCCTGTGCCTTTAGGGTCCCACGTGAGGGAACAATGGCGCAGGCCCTGTCTGCCCAAACCTCTTGCCCCCTTAACAGACTCCTACAGTGCTGGCCTTCTTTCATTTCCTGAAGCCTAACAATACTTTCCCACTTTAGTTTTTATAAATGATTTCTCCTACCCCTCCCTTATCTTCCTATCATTCAGATGTCAACTTAAAATGATACCTTCCCAAAAAGGTTCTTTTAAGACTGTGTCTGAGAACAAGGGCACTGGCCAGACCACAGGAGCTTTTATTTCAGCACCATGTTATTACAGTGTGACCTTGGAAAAATGAGCAAAATTCTCATGTTTCCTGCCTATAAAATGAGGATAATAGCAGTACTTACACAGTTTTAAAGTTGGAGACAGTTTTATAAAGCACGTAGTAAGAGCCTGGTACTTGGCAGTAAGCACAGTGTATTCATGGTCACCTTTAATATCTGAAGGTGAATATGTCCCCATGCTTCATTTTTATATCCATTTTCTACTTATTTCTTCATAATATTTATAGCAATTTAAAATTTGTCTATCTTCTCACCAGATACAAAACAACATGAAGACAGGAATCACTGTTGCCTTTCATCTCTGTGCTATCTCTTGCGCCTAATTCAGTATCTGGCATACAGCGATAGAGAGGATACTATAATATAAAATAGAAGAGGCCAGGCATTAATTTTGAAACATCAGTGACCAAACTAACATCACTGGAAGAACTGATGAAAACAAATCCCTGATTAGTCAGAGCAACATTTGAGTTTAATATTCTATTTTTATAAAGTGGCTTATGCTCTCTGGTTATTACTTTATATCAAAGGCTTGGTTTGTAGGCTTGATTCTTTTACTTTATTAATTCAGTTATTTAAATCAAAGTTTAATGAAAGACATTACAAGAGTTCTTGAAAGTGATTCAATTTTTTGAGCAAGAAGATGTTTCACAGAGGCTGAGAGACAATCTTACAAAATACATTATGTATTTTGTAAGATTATGTGCTACTAAGAAAGGAAAAAATGCTATTTTAACTGTAATAAGTCTGACAGCTTGAATGCTTTATACTTATGGAAAGCTCTTTTGAAAAATCATAAATCACACTTGTATACCTATTAAAATAATTAAGAAAAATTAATTTACTGAGGTGCTCTTAAAATTTATTTACATTCAGAGTCTAATTCTTTTAATGCACTTTGAACTTAGCACCTCAGTGTTCATGTTTTTCCCCTTAATGTCATAATTTTATTAAGAGTTTTAGTGAAATGTCACTTCTTAAATAACTGTCCATTTTTATCTCCAGGTATTTCTTCCAAATGCTCACTCTCATTTTTAAAATTATGAGACACAGGTAATGACAAATATGGCATGATTGTCACCTGGCCAAAAGCTGTGATAACATATCTAATACTAGATATGTTAAGTGTAGGAAAGAAATGTGTCTTGACTTAGAGAAATATGATGCTAAATTTGCAAAATATTTGCAAGAACAATAATTGTTATTTAGCAAGAATTAAGAACTGTTTGCTAGTAATATCACTGGCTAAATATGTATTGTTTTTAACCATTAACATTTGTATGCCATTTAACAATATTAAGTTAACATTTCTTTATCAGGTAAGCATCACAACAACCCAATGTCCTAGTTCTGTGTGTTTTGTTAGAGGAAGACAGAGCCTTAGAGACACTTCAGTAAGCGTCACTCTGTGTGATGGGCCATTTGGACACCTGCTCTGTATCTAAATCTCAAGTTCCTGGTTATTTGCAAAATCCGCTAGTACAAGTAGAGATGTGCTCAAACCAAAACTAGGGAAATTTTCAGCTTCTTTGTTATTCTGTATAGAATATACATGGAAGACGATCAGACTATCTTTTGACAACTTTGTAAAAGTGAACAGCTATGTACACTCCTAATATATTTGAGAATAATTATTTAAGGATATGTGAAATACCTCTGTCTTTTTCCCAACTTTCTCATTGCAGTGTTTCTTTCTAATTGCAATGTAAAAGAAATGTTGACATTTCTTTTTCTAGTCTAGATATGTCTTTCATCAGATTGTGCTATATTTTCCTAGACTGTAGCTTATCTTTTCATTCTTGCAACAGGGTTTTTATAGTGGGAAAGTTTTTTATTTTGACAGAATTCAATCTATCGATTTTTCTCTTCATGAATTGAACATCATAGCTTACAAATTATTGACCTTGGCCTTAGCTATATATTCTGGTCCACTGATTTGTGTGTTGGTCTTATTACTATAGTTATATAATAGTGGAATGTGAAGTCAGAAGACTTACTCTTCACACTTTGTTAATTTTATCTGTAACTATGAAAAATTCTGAGATTTTGACAGGAATTGTGTTAAACCTGTTTATTAGTAGGGGGGAAATTGATATCTTACTATGTTTCCAATTCTTAAATAATTCATGTCTCTATATCAAGTTCTTTGATTTTTCTTGTCAGCATTTGTAGTTTTATTGTTCAAATCTTATATATGTTTTTGTTATATTTATACCTTTTTATTAGTAAGTGATATACTTTAAATTCTTGTTTCTGTGTATTCGTTGCTAGTTATAAAAATACAGTGATTTTTATATGTTGATCTTACACTCTGCAACATCACTGAATTCACTTATTCTGTGAATCTTACTGTTAGAGTTCTTGGGATTTTCTACATAAATAATCTTGTCATCTGTGAATAGGCTTTTTTCTTTTCCAAAGTACATCCCTTTTTATTGAACCTTCTTGCCTATTGTAATGGCTAGAGCTTTTGGCACTATGCTGATTAGCTCTTGTAAGAATGTATATCCTTGATGTTTTCCTCATCAAGAGCAAAAAACATTCAGTCTATTACCATGTAGAATAAATACCATAGGTGTTTTTGTAGATATTTTCATCAAGTTGAGTTGAGTTCTTCTTATGAATAAGTGTTGGATTTTTAAACACCTACTATATCAGTTGATATGACTATATGCCTTTATATCTTAGTTTACTAATCTGGGGGATTACACTGATTGGTATTTGAATATTGAACCTCCTCGAATTCCTGGACAAACCCATCTGGTCATAGTGCATAATTTTTTACATATTGCTGAATTATTTCTCTAATTTTTTTTTAAAGATTTTATTTATTTATTCACACAGAACTAGGGTACAGGCCAGAGATGCGGAGGGTGAGAGGATTCACCAGAGACAGAGTTGGGAGCAGAACAGGCAGATCGACGAAGTACACTGCTGAGGGGAGCAGCGGGTGGGTCAGGAGAGGTCTGCAGCGCCATGTGGTCACCTCCGGGGCAGGCGGGGATCGAACTCATGCGGAAGTGGCTTTAGCTTCTTAGTGCTGTGCTTTAACCCGCTGAGCCACCAGGGAGGGCCTATTTCTCTAATTTTTGTGTACAGGATTACAATTCTTCATATGTGTATCAACTATCCAGTGGACATTTTCATGATCATGAAAATGTTCTCCATTGTTCTGTAATGTACAATAGCCACTCGACCATATGTATTAGTCTGTGGTCTCCAGAAAAACAGAACCAATTAGAGATTGCTGGCTAGCTTGATTAATTGATTGGTTGATGTATTAGAGAGAATTGGCTTATATGACGTGGAGGCTAAGAAGACTTAATCTGTGGTTAGAGTAAGCTGCAGTGCTGATAATATAGCTCTACTCTGAGTCCTAGCCCAAAGGCAGGATGACCTGATGTCCCAACTCAAAGACAGACATGGTCCTTTCCTATTCAGTCTTTTTTCTTTTTAGACCTTCAATGGATTGCATATCCCACTCTAATTAAGAAAGACAACCTATTTTATGAATTCAAATGTGAATCTCATCCAAAACATCCTCACAGACATACCCAGAAATAATATTTAGTCAAATGTCTGGGCACCCTGTGAAATTGACAAGTAAACTTACACATCATGCTGTATGTGGTTAAAGCATAGTGAGACAACCAAGAAACTAAATTGGTAATTCTAAGTAATTTAAGTAACTACACATAGCCTGTAGTACTGTACTGGGCAACACAGCACTTAATTGCCTTTCGCCTATAATAGCATTTTGATTGATGCAATAGAAGTACTTCTCCAGAGTCTAGCTTCCACCTGGGCCCCTGGAACACTCACTTTGGGAAAATCAGGCTGCTCGCAAAGTCTCACTACCCCAAGGTTACCATACTATGAACAAGGGTAAGCTAGCCAGATGGGCAAGGGCATGAGGACTCAAAGAGTTCCATTTGTTCTAACCATTCCTTTTGAAGCCTCAGAAATGTGAAAGAAGAAACTATATGGGCATTGTAAGTCAGATAACTTCAGCCACAGCTGCCATCTGATTCTAGCCATGTGAAAGCCCTGAACAAGAACCTACATCTAAGTCAACAGAACCATAAGAAATTATGATCTGCTGTGTTTAGTGACAATTAGGGGATTTGCAAAGTAATAGATGATCAGATAACCAGAACAGAAATTAACTAAGGACCAAGGTTCCCCAATTACCTGACTCCGCTAGTCTGCAGTCTTCTTTCCTACTTGTACCTTCACCTCCTTGCTTTTGATGGCCCAACTTTTATCCTTGGAACTGCATTTGCATTTCCAAGGATATGCAAATCATCATGATCTGAATTTCAACTCTCTGGATTTCTGACCTCCTGTTTAAAAAGCCTTTCTTAATAAAAGGTGTATGCTCTTTTCAATCCTGCTTTCAAGCTAGCTGGATCCACTTGCTTGTCTTTTTTTCCCTTACAAAAAGCCTTAACTAATTAATACAAGCTAACACTCTAATATTTTTCAATTGAATCTCTTTTAAAAGTCAGGAGGCATATACCTATGCTTTATGATCAACATTTGACAAATGCTTTGCTACCAAAATAAAATGGAAGGGGGGCCTCCTTGGTGGTGCAGGGGATAAAGTCTCAGGCTGTAAGCTATCAGCAGCCACTGCCACCTGAGCCAATCCCTGTCTCACCACTACTTCCCCTCAGCAGTGTACTTCAGTAGATCTGCTGGTTCTGCTCCCCACTGTTTCTGTTGAATTCTCTCATCAACCCCCCCCCCCATACCTCTGCCTAGACTCCAGTTTTTGTATGCTTAAGTAAATAAAATAAATTTTTAAAGAAAAAGAAAATGGTAGGAGGGGATAAGGGTATGCTGGATATATAACACATAAACATAAACACTGCTGCTGTAACAGTTAAGAAAGAATAGTAAACCTATATAAGCTATTTATACAGCTTACTGATTTTGTTGCTTAATATAATGATATGGCCTTAAATATCATCTTTCAATAATATACCTTATATTTAACAAGTATTAGTAGTCATGAAAATTGATTTGGAAAAAGGTTTACTATCATGATTGTAATTAGTGAGCATTTTTTGTGTAATTAACACTTAAGAGGGCAAATTTTGGAGTCTGCCAATTTCATTGATTCTGCTACATCAATGATATATTTTTCATTGCAGTTCTAAGAACAGATGGAATTTGCTATGGATAATTCATTTGATTTTAATCAACGAAGCTCATGTAATGGAATTCCATCTGAGAAGAAAAACAACTTCCTTGTGTCAGAAGATCATGGACAGAAAATCCTAAGTATACTACAGAATTTTAGAGAACAAAATGTCTTTTATGATTTTGAAATAATCATGAAAGATGAAACAATACCATGTCATCGTTGTGTATTAGCAGCATGTAGTGACTTTTTCAGGTACTTTATATATTTATGCCTCAGATTTTATTATTTGCATAATTACTTTTTATAACTCCTCAATTTCCTCTCTGCAGGAGCATGTACAATGATAATTTTTAATTCTTATAAAACTGATAAATTAGTGATTTTTGAGTATGAAAATTTAATACTTCTATTTGGAAGGCTCAGGGCTCCCCAGGATACTATTTCTCAAAGCTCTGTGAACTTTATCAATCCTTTGAAATATTCTGAAAAAAAATTGTTTTAATCAGGGTCAGTTTTGCTTGGGGGATCCCTGCATGGTATCATTTAGAAAAAGAGGAAAGGACAGGTTGAGCAAAGTTCAAAGACAGTGAAGAGTCTGAGACTAAAATAAATTCCAATCTTCTATCCATAGATTATCACGGGAGAGAAACTTTAACTCAGATTTTAAAATTTCGCCTCTCTTTAGCAAGATATCCCTAAAATGGAGGGCAGTGATTCCAGAAGCACTTCTAGAGAGCACCCAACTTGTTCTCATCCTCAGCAACTTTATATAAAAAATTGGTTTCCCAAGTAGATAATCCTGCAGGAACAGGCCTCATTACAACACTGATCACAGTGGGTTTTGGAATCTGCCAGTTAAGATCAGACACCTGCCTTAGAACTGTGGTAAACCCATTAACATGATGCCATCCTGGAAGGCCTCTCTGTGAGACTCAGCCTTTCCGTGACATGCTGGTCCTCAGTCCTCCTAGTCACACTGCAGTAAGCTTCCTGCTTAACTGCAGTATTTTGCAGTGCTCAGTTTGGGAAGCGATTTTTATTTTAAATAAGCAGGGTTTAAGGCTACAATGAATAAACTTGATATAAAGAGTAAAGTTTAAGCTGAACAGAGGCAAGTTAATTTATACTAGTTTTACTTCTTTGTCTAGCACTTTTTTTCTGCCAATATAGAATTAGACTTTACCCTTATTGCCTCTGGATTGGAACCAGACTTCATTTAACAAAAGTTGTCTGATACTCGCCAAATAGAGGTGCCTGCAGGGTTTCCAGCTTTGCATTGGGGAGCAGTGGCTCAGGGCTGCATTAGTTATCTGTAGGCATGAGAGGCCACACAGTCTTGAATGGTTTGCCTAACGACTAGGTAACCTAAGTTACTCTTAGGATTCCACTGGAGGGAGCCCTCACTGCCACTCAGTTTCCACTAGTTTCTCCCCACTTCCCTTCCAATCAGTTTCTTCTATGTAAATCTTTTCTGCTCCCTTACCCTTTAGATCACTTCTGCATCACAGAAAGCTGAATACTACACTGGTTAAGGGCTTGGTCCCTTAGTGCCCATACACTAAATCCAAACCCCAGCTCCACTACTCACTAGACATGTGGCCTTAGGCAACTTACTTCACCTTTTCTGGTCTCAAGTTTCTTAGTTAGAATAATAATAATAATCAGAATAAGGTACCAAAAATGGAGCCTAACTCATAAAGTCAACATGCTTTTGAACTATTGTATATGTAATGATTAGGACTGTGTCTACATCATTTGATTAGTGTCAGCTGCTTTTTGCCCATTGTACTTGCTCAGCAGACTCCTAGCTCTTTATGGATCTGTTTTAAATTTTTTAAATTACTTTTAAGACAATCAATTGAAATTTTTCTACCTGTTTTGGAGTTCTATAATGATCTGTATTTATTATATATAGTAAAATGTGTTTTTATTATATATTCCTGGCAGAAACACAGTTCACATAAGAATATGTATAAATGGAGATAAAAATTAAGTCACATTTTTGTACCACAGGGCCACACAATCATAATATTTTGATCTAATTCCCTGGAGTATGGGGAGGAAAAGCATAGAACAGAAGTCGCAAGAGATCACATAATACATGATAAATGCATTTTACAATGTTTTGGGAAAATGAAAATTACAATTGAGATGCAAAGTCTTTGGAAAAAGACCGAACAGGAATCACACTTTGTGTAACATTATATGGCCAGTTTATGGTAACTTAAATAACCGGATACTTTAAAGATGAGTAGGATGAAGTATATGGTCTTAGATGTATCTTCTCACAGAAAATGTGGAAACTGATGGTAAATTAAAAATACATAGACTGCGATAGAAAACACTTGTTTTACTAAAATAATAGTAATAGCTGGTGCTTTTACATCAACTCCTTAGCTCAGTGTTATGGGTACTGCCAGTAGATCCCACTTTCAGGTGAAGAATTTGAAAGACTGCAGTTAAATCTCTCCCAGCTCACACAGCTAACAAACGACTAGTTACTCAGCTGGCAGAGAGGTTCTAGAGGCCATGTTCTTAATAGGACTCTCAACTGACTCTCTATGTCTAATAACATAATTGTTAACACAGGTTACTATTTCTACATTGGTATACATTATTAAAATACCCCACCCATGAGACACCCCACCCATGAAGTACCCCACCCAGAGTGTGATGTGTATAATGTTGGTAATATATTTTTTTTTTATGTGGGCCTAGTGTGAAGGCATTCTTACATACTGAGGGCCTGCTGCCTGGCTAGGGCCCCTTGTATTTTTCTGTTGGATGCTAGTGCCTCTTTAATAACTTGAATTATCCTCCAGGGTAGGTTCAAATCACTAAGTTGTTTCCTTGCAGAGTTCTTGGCACCCATAGGTACTGCTCACAAGTGTAGGTGCATAATATGAACTACAAACCAGTATTAAAACCAAAACCAGCCATTTGGCCTTCAGTCCTAATGAATAATCAGTGGGCAGTCTAGCTTCTTTGTTGAAGCTCTTTCCACTTAATCTCCACTTGCTTGTTCCACTGACAGCCACTATAGTGGATTTGTTTAAAGCATAAAAATGGAAGTGTAAAAGCTCTGGCTGTGAACTTAATCTAAGGATAGGTGGCAATATTGTTTTTGCCAAAATCAACAATAAAATATATTTTAGTCCCCTGCCCAAACATTTCTAAATAATTTATACTTTTGTTAAGTTGGGCATCCAAACTTCCCAGTTCCTAAGATTATACAACTTTACCATGTTGAGCTGAGTTAGAAGTTAGTATGAAGAACCTTTAGATGATTTAATTATTTAAGTCAGGGGCCCCATCTCCATATATCAGTGACCATTTTCCTGAAAACTTACTTTTAGCCTTTCTTTTGTGTCTTAGTGTAGTCCGTGATTACTACAGATAAGGGATCAAATTTCTTTTTTCCTAAAATTCTGTAGAATGTATGGTTTCAGACCTGTATTGAAGTTTCTCTTACCTGGTGGATTTTGCTACATGCAAATCCATTGGCGACATGTTTCACTACTGCCAAATTAAAACTGTTTGAAAGACTTTCAACTCCTAAACCCAAAAGTACATTCATGATTTTAATTATCAGCTGCACAGTTGATACTGATTATCACATAAATAAATTTTATCATTAGAGAGATTTTACCCTGTTTATGAATAATTTATAAGTACAGCAAATCAGTATACAAAATTTGAATCTTTTTACAGTCTTTGGATTAATTGCTATAGCTCAGTTTTAATGTTTATAAGCTCACACTGTTAGCATTATATATTACTTCAAATAAATAATTTGGCATGTAACTGTTCTATGTAATGAAATGATTTGTGAGGATGCTTTTAAAATATATGTTGTAAGTACTTTTAAAAATCGACTTTAAGTATAAAGGAGGATACCTCTTTAAAGCAAAATTGAAAAAAAAAACCAAACTATAGAATAAAATGTTCCCAGTCACTTGTTCTTCTGTGTTCTCTATTTTCACAGGGCTATGTTTGAAGTAAACATGAAAGAAAGAGATGGTGGAAGTGTTACCATTACTAACTTGTCCTCCAAAGCAGTAAAGGCATTTCTTGATTATGCCTACACTGGAAAAGCAAAGATAACTGATGATAATGTGGAAATGTTCTTCCAGTTGTCATCATTTCTTCAAGTTTCCTTCCTATCCAAAGCTTGCAGTGACTTTCTAATAAAAAGTATTAATCTTGTCAATTGTTTACAGTTATTATCACTCTCAGATAGCTATGGCTCTCCCCAGTTGTTTGATCATGCATTATACTTTGTACAACATCACTTTTCCTTATTATTTAAGTCTAGTGATTTCTTAGAGATGAACTTTGGAGTACTGCAAAAATGTCTGGAATCAGATGAATTAAATGTTCCTGAAGAAGAAACTGTACTAAAAGTTGTCCTTAGTTGGACTAAACATAACTTAGAATCAAGACAAAAGCATCTGCCTCATTTGATTCAAAAAGTAAGGCTGCATCAGTTACCTGAGGAGACACTTCAAGACTGTCTGCTCAGTGAAGAGGGTTTACTCAAAAGCACAGGCTGCTTTGACACCATCATGGACGCGGTCCAGTGTGTGCAAGGTTCGGGTGGACTATTCCCTGATGCTCGACCCTCCACGACTGAAAAATACATATTTATTCACAAAACTGAGGATAATGGGGAGAATCAATATACCTTTTGCTATAATATTAAGAGTGATTCGTGGAAGATACTGCCACAGTCACACCTGATTGACTTGCCAGGATCCAGTCTGTCTAGTTATGGAGAGAAAATGTTCTTGACAGGTGGCTGCAAAGGGGCGTGTTGTAGAACCGTGAGGCTGCACATTGCGGAGTTGTATCACGACGCCACTGATCAAACCTGGTGCTACTGCCCGGTCAAAAATGATTTCTCCTTGGTGTCAACGATGAAGACACCAAGAACCATGCATACGTCAGTTATGGCTCTCAACAGACTCTTTGTCATAGGTGGAAAGACGAGAGGGTCTCAGGACATTAAAAGCCTCTTAGACGTTGAATCTTACAACCCTCTTTCCAAAGAATGGGTGTCTGTTAGCCCTTTACCCAGAGGCATTTACTACCCTGAAGCAAGCGCATGCCAAAATGTAATTTACGTCCTTGGCTCAGAGGTAGAGATTACAGATGCCTTCAACCCATCTCTTGACTGCTTTTTTAAATACAATGCGACCACTGATCAGTGGTCTGAACTAGTAGCAGAGTTTGGACAGTTTTTTCATGCAACGCTAATTAAGGCAGTCCCGGTAAACTGCACATTGTATATTTGTGACCTTTCCACCTATAAGGTTTATAGTTTTTGTCCAGATACTTGTGTTTGGAAGGGTGAAGGTTCCTTTGAATGTGCAGGCTTTAATGCAGGTGCAGTTGGAATTGAGGATAAAATTTATATACTAGGTGGTGATTATGCGCCAGATGAAATCACAGATGAAGTGCAGGTCTACCACAGCAGCAGATCTGAGTGGGAAGAAGTTTCACCTATGCCAAGAGCCTTAACTGAATTTTACTGCCAGGTAATTCAGTTTAATAAATACAGGGACCCATGGTTTTCTAATCATTTCTAAAAGTAGGGCTTACACATTCTAAAAATATTCCAGTCTTAGAAACCTATAGAAAGTTTGTTAATCATAATTGTTGGTCAGAAGGCCTCTGCATCTTAAAATGTCTCTCTGCTAGAGAATTACTATCAGTGCAGTATGCCACTTATGAAGTAGGAGTTCCAAGAAACTTAAAATGCAAAGTCCATTTTAAGGAAAATCATATTGCAAAATCTTGGAGAATAAGAATTCTTGGTATTTTCCTATGTAAGCAAAACTCACATACTTTGCTGTTTTGAGTTTTAAAGTACTTTATCCATGAAAGACAAGTCAAAACAAATCAAAGTTAACAAATAGGGGAAATTTCTTCAGTAAAAATGAGCTATACTCTATTATATGAAGTGAAAATAAATTAGAGTTGAGAATTCTACTTTGTTACTATAGGTATAAGAATTACTGAATTCTTTCTGATCTTTGTTTTCTTTTAAACCCTTCTTTCACCATTTATTTGATCGTTTTTTTCTAAAATGTGATCTATTTCCCTGAACTAAATTACACTAATCATAATCCAGCTAAGATTCAGCTTTTCATTAAGTGTACAGGTATCAAGTTGCAAAGCCATAAAGCCACTGACAATTGCCAACATGCTGATTCTACTAGTTCTCGGTGTTGGTTTATTTCAGTATCTAGGAGAATCATATTTTTCTTTATATGGTCTAGCTCAAGCTCAGTAAATTAACACTCTTGATTTCATTAGTAGTTCTAAGCTACATCTGACCTAAGTTTGTCTTAACATGCAACCTGTTGAGTGAAATTCTTATATTCTGGAGTGGTACCCTAAAATACCTTTCTGTCATTACCTGCTTCCAATATAGTTGAGGATGTATAGAAAGATGCCCCCTAGATAGGTGGGTCATTAATACCACATTTCTCAAGCTTTTAAATGTTCACATTTCAGTTTCAGTAAGAAACTAGTACCCTATCAGTGTTCTGTGATGAGATATACCAACTGTAAAGAACCATGTTAGTTTACTACGTTAGTGAATTATTCACAGCAAATTCTTTTCTAAATGTAAAAATGTGACTGCGCTTTTGTTGTGGATAGTGGTTTTTGCAGCCTGCATCTCTTCAGGTGTTTCATCACCTTTACCCTAAATTGATAGAATATTAATCATTATCCTTCTCAACTAAGATTATCCTGCCTTGCAAGAGGGTATGTTTCCTTAATCAGTTTTAAAGATATAAACATTATAGGTTTTAAGACTCCTGGTTTACATCTCAGGTAATTTATTGGACATCTCTGGAATGAAATGTATGTAGTTTCCCACACTCTGTGCAGTAAATGTTAGTCTGTTGTATATATTCTTTAAAAGTGTTTTTACACGGATATTACCTGACTAGCATATTGATTTATATCATCATAAATTTCAAACATTTTTCAAAATATTAATAGAATATAGTATTAGAATACATTATCATGCAACTCCCAAATCAAAGTCTTCCCTAATCAGATGATAGTTAGTTACAATCAGTGGCCTTCCTTTCCAGCTACCTTACCTTAGTTGACTTTTCCCTTTTCTCTGTGTGTGAGTGTAAGAGAGAGACTTTGAAAAAAATTACTTGAAAAAAGGCCATAATAGAGTGACCTACATTGAGATTTATGGACTTTTAAGCATAAGTATGTTAAAAGTAATTATTGTTTGAATCACTGACTCTAGAAATTGTTAATTTCTTCCAGAAAGAAACTAAAGTAAAATAGTATCACTTTCCTCAACTTATTTCATTATTGTAACAACTTGATTCCACCACTTTCCTCATTGTCCATTGATTTGTGGTAGAATTTCTAGGAATATCCTTGTTTTCAAGGCCTGCCTAACTCCCTATACATTTGATCTAGTAGAGCTTCTAATTCACAAGATTTCCTGTCTTCATTTTATAATTGCTACATGTTACTTCTTAATATTTTTATTTATTGCCATCCTTTTCATCCCCATCTGAGTACTCTTCATCAGTTAAAACTGTGAGAAAAGTGCAATCTAATCATGAAACAACAAACTTTTACTATTTCTTTTACTTGTCGCCATAGCAACTGGTGCTGGTGTGCACTAAATTGCATTAATAATTGATCTTGTTCTCATTTTGCATCATCATGTAAAGGTACTTTCATTTGATCTAATCTGCTTTATTGAAAAATGATTATGTTCAGAATTCTCAATGAATTCAACCATAAGCACACAGTCCAGAAGTAGAGGTTATATTTTTCTGACCTTGCCAATCACTGTGATTGCATTATCCGTGGACCATTATGGGCTCACTGTCTGCTCTGGATGTCCGTCATGCCAGCCTCAGTGATGTGTCGTCTATGCTCAGTACTCCCAGGAAGAGCTGCATTTCCTGACTGTCAGGTTAGGTAAGAGGCTATAACATGCCTATCTTTATGGCTTGGTTCCTTGGTCTTTTTTCTTTCTTTCTTTTCTTTAAAGTCTGCTTTCCTTTCATTCCATTATCCTTCATCTAGTGCTACAGGGTAAAAGGCAAAATAATTATGCTTATTATCCACATTGCTATAATTCTTGTGGATAAATCGTGTTTAACGTTTCTACATTTCTAAAGTCCTTATTATTTGTTGTGGTCCACTATATTTAGATTATACACACAAACACACAAAAGCTACTATTGTAATGTCTTCTAAAATTGAATGTAGATACATGATATTATTAAATGTAAAAATTTTAAATCTATCGTTTGTATAAGATCAATTCCTTGAGAGATCTTTGAATCTTATTTAAAAGGTAGAGCACTTTTTGTTCACTAATAGCCTGTGAAACTAAGCAAATTGAAAAGTATTTGCATAATTAAAATTAACTATATTCCCATGTCACCTTACCCTAGTACTGAGAGGAAAGGAAGTCTTTATTAGAGCAGTCTTTACTACATGCAACCCTTGAAAGCTAGAATATTATTTGAGAGCAACCACATGTGATTCCATTTTTCCCAGCCATCAAGAAATGTAACTGAATATGTGTTCAGCATATCTAGCTCAAGGTATATGACTAAAAGTGAGATTATTACAAATCGTTAGTTTACATTTTGATATTTGGAAGCAATAAATGTAATGATTAAGTATAGTTGAATACACTGTGAATTTTAGTTCATCCTCAGTTTAATTGAAACCATTGTTTGAAAACAATGTCTTCTTCAAAAATGTCTTCTTATGGGCAGCTTGAAAGGAGGTCTAAACACAAAGCCTAGAACTTATAGGGAATAAGATTTCTATTCAACATAAAAAATAACAACTCCACTTTATAAAGCCATATTTTATAAGACTAGTTAGATGTCAGAGACTGTGACATGGCACACAATTAGCCCAGTAACTTCCTTTACAGGGGCTTGTGACCAAAGATCTATACATTTTATTCACACATTTTGATTTTCATAATTGTTTGACATACGACTAATTGCTTTCTTTTCCATTTTATTTAGCATTTTAGGCATTCTGACTAAATTCATTTCCATGGTTCTGCATGGTCAAAACTTAATAGGACTTGAATATTAAGATGACATCATTTTAAGAGCACTTTTATTGGAAGGAATTTGGTCTTTTAATATCATTCATGGAAAAATCTATAAAAGGTGCTGACATTTATTGTGAGCTACTAAAAGGGATTTTTCCTTCTTTTGCCATAGATGCACATTTGTCTTATACAGAATAGAAACTGAAAGACTGGTACCTAAATTTTCTTCTGAATTATTGCTAATTTGCTTCAAATGTGACAATGAAGCTAAATATAGTAATTCAATTTCAATATGTGATTTGAAAGAAATCTTTGTCTTAAAAATTCAAATGAATTTATAAATTATATTTGATGACAATACGATGCCTGATCAAAACTAATACTTAAATAGGTAATTTAAATCACAAAGTGATACTATTACAGTCATATCAAAAGATAACTCTTCTAACTCATAGACTACATTCAAACTTGAAAATAACCTCAGAATCTATTATAGTTTCTGAACTGGTCAGAAGTCACCTCTGAATTCTAAAACACCTAAGACGGATAAATTTTTTTTTTTTTAATTTCAAATTCAGTGAACTCAGGGCTAAAGAACTTCCTACCTCTACTTTTAAACAGTTCCATTACAAATTTCTTCCTGATACTGAGCAGTTCTGCCTCCCTGTATAATTTCTAGCCAATGGCCCTCGGTTGCTATCTCCACAAGCATTTGAAACAGTAGCTCCTCTAAAATGAAGTCTCCATTTGTTTCTTGTTCAAATAGCTAGCATTTTAAAATCTATCATACAAAACAATCAGGTCATATGCCTTCTGCTTGTACAGTTGCCTCAGAAAATTGATCCCAACACTGTGGGCTTTGATGGATTCAGACTGACCAACAGGGCAGAATCTCTTGACAACCTTTAACCTGTTCTCTGGCTCTTACAAATCCAATTTGAACTAGAGCTTTGCTGTGTCTCTTTCCTCCTACCCCCATCAACGTAATCACAAACATTTTCTGGGAGAGCACTTCTAAAGTCAAATGTTTCAATCATTTACCACTTCATATGGCTTCAGAATTGCAAAAACACATTGAAAGACAACCCTCCCACAAGTAGACAAGGAACCAAAGCTAAGTCACATCACCACTGTGGTTAATGAAAAGATAACATGATCACCAATAAAAACAGGCCAGTCTTTGGATAATAATTTAAATATGGATATTCCTCTCTGCTGTTCAGGTAGGTAGGTAGAGCATGGCATTTCCTAAAACAACGGCATTGTTAAATAACTATGGGTCAGGTCGCTTTATTCAGGACATTCCTAGCTATACTGTCTTAACTAGCTCAACAAATTATGCCACTGATTCCCAGAGCAACAAGTTGCTGGAGTAACTCAGAGTATAGTTCTCTGAATATCATCTGTGCTATTTCTTTATGTATCTGTCTTATTTCATTGGAAGCCCTTAAGAATAAGAAGGTGGCCCTCCCTGGTGGCGAGGCAGGTTAGGACGCAGCACTGCAGCCTAGTGGCAGTCACTCCAGTGCAAGTTTGAAGCCCAGCCCCAGAGGTGACCCACATGGCACAGCACACCTCTCCTGTCTCACCCGCTGCTCCCCTCAGCAGTGTCAATCTTTGCTCCCTACTCTGTCTCTGGTGAATCCTCTTACCGTCCCTGCACCCCTGGACTGTACCTCAGTTCTTTATGCATAAATAAATAAACCTAAAAAAAAGAATAAGAAGGTATCTTCATTTTTGTACCTGTCATTAGTACAATACTGCACACATTAAGGTAACTAATAAAGTGATATTCTACTGACACTTAGGTGAAGCAAAATGTATTTACCTTCATACTGTTTCAGAATGGTCTGACAGAACTGCACATTTCCAACTTATTTTCATGTGCAAAGGAAATTATTTTGTTGTACAATAGGACAGTATTATATTTAATGTTAGGTGTTAATTTAGTTGATATTTTTATCATCTGAAAATGTAACTTATGCAAGTGGTAGCTTATATGACTTCAGATTTTGTTAGTGTTTGGAAAAGTTAATGAAGGATTTGAGGGAAGTGAAATTGCATTATACAGTGCATTGCCTATCTTTGGAAAATGTATACAGTTGATTATATACTTGTATATGGGTATAGTTATTCTTGAACGTGTAACTATAGATGCAAGTCATTTATCCAACTGATCGTTTTAGTGTTTAGGAAATATCTATTCGCAGTGAACTTGAATTTTATTATCTACTTTTGTGTTTGCATTCAAAGGTGATAGTGGGTCACAATGACATGCAATCTCATTTCTCCTACAAGGGTATATTAACTTTAGTGACCTTTTCTAACTTGCAGAAAAGATTCTGAAAGCTACTCAGTTGCATACACACATAATTTACTTCCTTTCCCTATTAGTGGGATGTAGACTTTTACAATATGCTATAAGAAATGAAATTAGCATTCCTGCAGGTCCATATTAATCATATTGACATTGTAATAGAATATTTCAATTCTATAAAATAATTGTTTATTAAAATGTGTCTCAAAAAATAACACATATTTTGTTTATATATATTGTTATTAGCAATAATAAAGGTGGATGATAAGGGTCTTGTTTTCTTGCCACCCTTTTCCACACAAGTTGGGTCTCAGAATTACTGAAAGTGTGGTGGTGCAGGACGGTGTGTGTGTGTGTGACCCCTAAGGTGTGAAGTACTGAGACAAGGAAAATGTTGGGGTCATGACTGGAAGACTGGTCAGCCTGGGCTAGAAGACTGGCCAGTACCCAGATCATGAAGTCCTTTCTTGTGTCAGCAAAGCTAAGCCTAAGAAATAGCAGGATTAGAAATGGAGTAGGGCAACCTTATGTTAGGGGAAAGGAAGTCCAAAATGAATTCTATAGATACAGGTTTTGTGGACTCCACCCTCACCCCAGACACTGGAACTATGAATTCTACAGACACAGGTTTTGTGGACTGTCCTCTGCCCGCCCCCTCAGACACTGGAACTACAAATCCCATCATCACCAAAGAGAGGAGTGCTGGCACCTGAGGGTAGAGTTAAGTATCCATTGTTTGGATATAAAACCAGACATGAGGGTTTTGGGGGTTTCTTGGCCTCCTAGCTTCTGGCTTTGCTCCTGGCTTTTTGCCAGCTTTCAGTGTGCTATTGGGGCTCCAGGCCTATGGAACTGGTAGGATGCATTAACCCACTTATCTCTCTTTCTTGCCCTGAGTTATTCATTCCCCTTTCTCTTATAAAGAAACCCATTATTTACCTTTTTAAAAACAGATTTTATTTATGCATACAGAACTGGGGTACAAGCCAGAGGTGCAGGGACAGTAAGAGGCTTCACCAGAGACAGAGTGGGAAGCAGAATAGGTAGATCAATGAAGTACTCTGCTGTGGGGGGCAGCGGGCGGGTCAGAAGAGGTCTGCCACACCATGTGGATCACCTCCAGGGCTGGGGATCGAACTCACTCTGAAGTGGCTGTGGCTTGCTTGAAGTCTTGATGTGCTGCATCCTAACCCATTGTGCCATCAGGACAGCCATTACTTACTTACCTTTCCTTTTTTTTTTTTTTAATTTATTTATTTGTACATACAGAACTGGGGTACAGGCCAGAGGCTCAGGGGTGGGGAGAGGTTTCACCAGAGACAGAGTGGGGAGAAGAACAGGCAGATTGACCAAGTACACTGCTGAGGGGAGCAGTGGGCAGGTCAGGAGAGGTCTGCCATGCCATGTGGTCACTTCTGGGGTAGGCGGGACTCGAACTCATGCAGAAGTGGCTTTAGCTTCTCAGTGCTGTGCTGTAACCCGCTGCGCCACAAGGGAGGGCCCATTACTTACCTTTTTAAATGTGCCTGCAGTTGAAGTCCCTTTAAGTGTACAGGTAAGGACCCACAGTCAGGTCAGGCAAACCAATTCACATCAGTTGCCCTGTGACACTTAATCACACAAAACCTTGGCAGGGAATGTGTGCCACAATAATGCTAAGTACTATGAAACTGAATCATTCTCTTGTAACTAACAAAAACGGGGGCAATTTTTCTCAACAAAAGTGAGTCATATTGGTTACTCACGGGGCTTGCACTTGTGCTTTGTGTCCCCTGGTCCTGCTTCTCTTAACTCTGTCTTGTTTCTGTCAGTTCTCCCGACTCCCACTCTTCAGCCCTATTCACTGTTCACCAGCTGGTTCCAGCAAATGGCAGTGGTGCCCAAACAGGGACCCGGATGAGGGAGGCTCCTCCTGAGTGGAGGTTGAGATCCTGGCTGAGCACCAAAGGTAAGCCTTTTCTGGACCCAGGGGAAGTTTTGGTACTCACAGTGTTACAGCATAACCCCAAAGTGGAGTGAGTTGCTTCATAGTGGGTCTTCATCTGTGTAATTAAAGGGACTTATAATAAGACTAAACTGCAGGCACACACAAAAAGTTAATAATGGGTTTATTTACAAAAGAAGGGATATGAATAATTCAGGGATAAGAAGTTGGTCAATGCACCGAATAGCATGCTGAAAGCACGTGAAAAGCCCAAGGGTCAAGACATGAGCCAAGAGGCCAAGAGACCCCAAAGCCCACATGTCTGGTTTTATACCCAAACATGGCTGCTTAACTCCACTCTCAGGTTGCAGCAATCCTCCCTTTGGTGATGATGAGATTTATAATCCCCATGCCTGTGGTGGGGGTGGAGTCCA